ACTTTGCTTGCCAATGTTTGAAAACTTTTAACAATCCGATCCCTTTCCATTCGCGAGAGTCCGAAGCCTTCACGGTATACTCAAGTATGTTTTCTTGTTTCATGTATTTGTTTTTAAAGACCGTACACCTGACCAAGCCGCTGGTGAATTTAATAGACATTTCCAACCCCATTTTGCTAACAAAGCAATATTCATTTTCCTCGCCACCTTTATTCCAAAACCCCCGTCTTTTTTGCATTTAGTGACCGTATTCCACCCCACCAAGTGCGCTTTCTTCTGGTTTCCATCTGTTGCCCATAGGAATGACCTGTTGAGTTTATCAAGATTATTACAAGTAGATTGTGGAAGCCAATTTGTCTGCATAATATAATTAGTTGGCAAGGCAGAAGTTACTGATTGTATAAGAGTGGCTCTCCCTGCAAGACTTAAGTACTTTGCCTTCCAATTAGTCAATCTCATTTGCACCCCCTGTCAATCCCCTCTCGGAAAAGCGGAGCAGAAACTCTATTGATGGAGTGGATCCTAGGGCTGCAACTTTCCATTCACACGTCTCTTCCATGAATCCAAAGCCTCCAGGCTCCTCCCGTGAGGAACTGGATCAAGTCGAAAGAAGCACGAAGAAGGCTGAACAAAGTTTTGAGACAACGGGTTTTGTTGACGAAGTTGCTGCTATGGATGGAGTGGACGTTGGTGAGACCACCCATGTCGCCTCTGGACCGGAGCAGTCTTTACCTAGCGAGAAACAAACGTATCGTGAGAAGTTGTCGGGGGAACGTACGCCGGCAATCAAATTTAGCAACAACACCATGTTTAACCTTCAAAAGGTGAAAGTTGTGAGATCTACGGCATAACACCCTTACCCTAGGATTGAACTTGATCCATTATATGCCAAAGAAATCCGTGATCAGTGGAAAGACACTCATTCTGAAAATGTTGGGAAGATCAATTAGCTACCAAGTTCTGTACAATAAATTGGATTACATGTGGAACTTAAAAGGAGCCTTTGATCTCATAGATTTGGGTCACAGTTGCTTCATTCTTAAGCTTGAGAATAAAGAAATGGCTGAGCATGCATATTCTTACACAAGGACCTTGGGTTTTGTTCAATCACTATCTCATTGTAAGGAAATGGTTCCCTAATTTTCAGCCGTCTACAGATAGAATTAACACTGCTATAGCATGGGTTCGTATACCAGAATTAGCAGTGAAATACTACCAAGAAGAGATTATCTATTCTATTGCCTCAAGTCTTGGAACGCCGATCAAAGTTGATCATAACACGTACTGGGCATCCAAGGTTAAGTATGCAAGATTTTGTGTCCAACTGAACTTAGATGAACCGTTGGAAAGCGTTGTCACCATTGAGGACCAACTATTTACAGTTGAATATGAGAACCTCCCAGTTATATGTTATGCTTGCGGTCGAGTGGGCCATCGGAAAGAAGATTGTAAACCCGTCACGATGGATGATGTATCTAATGAGCAAACAAACATGGCAGCACCCTCGACTTCAACTCCTAAAGTTGATTTATTGGAGAAGCTAGAGAAATCAAAGTTTGGTGAATGGATGCTTGTGAAGAGGAATAAGAAACCATTGAGACCTAACACGGGTGGAAGAACCATGTCACGTAATGATAGATCATCAAATAGATTTGGACCGTTGACAAACGGCATTGAAGAGCATGAGTTAATTCCAATAGAAGAATCACGTGAGCCATCAATGCGGTTACATACTCACAACGTTACTAGTGTTCCCCGGAAAAAATCACTACCAGGTACTATGAAACAACAAAGAAAAGATTATTCCATGTCTTCATTTACTCAAGTTGAGGTGCATACTGCACATCACCATACATCGAGGCAAGTTGTGCCTAGTCAATCCATGACTAAGAACCCTTTGACTGGACACCGTTTAATCAGAGATCGACTTTCACCTGGAGGGCTGGTTAATTGGAACCTGAATCAACAACCCACCCAATCCCCTGAATATAGCACTACCAGCCAGCAGATTGGCTTCAATCCTACGCACACAAGTGATCCTCATTTAACCGTGAATTCAGACCAGCGGGGTAGTACGAGTAGTGCAGGTTTTGCGAATTTGAATGAGTTTGAGACTCTTGAATATCAGAATGGGTGGCACTTCGTCTGCTAATATGGATGCCTGCATGACGAATGTTGACCCCATGCATGGGTCGTTTGTTTGATTCTTGCCTAATTTTATTTGTTTACCATGAAAGTACTTTCTTGGAATTGTAGAGCTGCCGGTAGTGACGAGTTTCGTCGTTGTTTTAGTGACATGGTTAACAACCACAAACCCGATATTGTGTTTCTCTTGGAAACTAGAGTTAATGAGTCTCGGGCTGCTAGGATCTCGAGCAATTTGGGGTTCTCAGGGGTGTGTTGTGCACCAATTGTGGGTCGAGGAGGCAGAATTTGGATGTTGTGGAATTTGCAAAATCTTAAGGTGGAAGTGTTGTCAGCAACTGCTCAGGCCATTCATGCTCTTATCAGCTCAAACGACACAAATAGTTGGATTTGCTCCGGTATTTATGCTAGTCCCATACGGAATACGCGAGAAGAACTTTGGGCTGCACTTGAAGAGTTTAGTCAACACGTAAATGTTCCTTGGTTTCTTACAGGAGATTTCAATGAGCTTTTAACTTCACATGAGAAAAGTGGCGGTCAGTTACCAAGCCTAAGTCAATGTCTCAGATTTCCGAATTTCCAGAATAATTGCAATTTGATTGATCTTGGTTTTAAAGGTCCTCGCTTCACTTGGTACAGTTCGAGGTTTGGAACCACGATTATTAGAGAACGGCTAGATAGAGCTCTAGCTAACCCGTTGTGGCGTGAACGTTTTTCAGAGGCTATGGTTTTGCACCTTCCAAGAACACATTCAGATCACCACCCTCTTCTTACCATTTGCGAAGGTTTGTCATACACTCATCTCAATAAACCTTTCATATTTGAATTGGCTTGGTCTACTCATTCGGAATGTAAGGATGTTATTAGCAATGTTTGGGCTTCATCTGGATCCATCACGCAAGCTCTCTCGTCTCTCCTTCGAGAACTGCGTCAATGGAATCAGTCTACGTTTGGCAATATTTTTCACAGAAAACGACGCATCCTAGCCAGGTCAAAGGGGTCTAAGTTAGCCTTGCTAATAGGGAGAGTTTGTCAATGGTCAATCTTGAAAATGAACTTCTTGCCGAGTACAATGAAATTTTGAAACAAGAAGAAATGCTTTGGTTTCAGAAATCGAGGGTGAAATGGATGCAACATGGAGATAAGAACACAAATTTTTTCCATATGACTACGCTTTGTAGGCGTCAATGTAACAAAATCGCATCCCTTAAGATTCAAGGAGTCTGGACCACAGATGAAGGGGTTCTTAGAGACCATATTCTGGGCTACTTTACTGGTCTCTTCTGTCCATCCAATTCACGCCCGGTTTTACTGAATAGGAGTCCATTGCAGAAGTCCATTACCGAGGATGAGAAAACTCACCTTACTGATTCAGTTTCATGTGAAGAGATTTTGAGAGTACTAAAATTTATGAAACCGTACAAAGCCCCTGGTCCAGACTGTTGTCAAGTTTTTTTCTATCAAAAATATTGGGATGTAGTGAGAGATTCAGTCGTTGATTTTATACAGTCAGTTTTCACAACTAGACAATTACCTATAGGCATTGGTAACGCATTTGTGGCGCTTATACCTAAAATATCCACTCCCGATAGCATCAATCAATTCCGCCCAATTTCCCTTTGCAATGTCCTCTACAAGCTTGTGACAAAAGTGTTGGTGCAAAGATTTAAACCACTTATGAAGACTATTGTTGGACCGATGCAAAATAGTTTTATTCCAAGACGTAGTATTCATGACAATATTCTTCTTGTCCAAGAAATGGTGAACACTATGAGAAGATCAAAGAGCAAAAAGGGCAGCATGCTAATCAAGATTGACCTTGAGAAAGCTTATGACAGGGTAAGTTGGGATTTCTTGGAGCAAACTCTCTCATTCTTTAACCTTCCTACGGCTTGGATTGAGCTTATCATGAGCTGCACCAAAAGTGCTCAAATGCAGATTTTATGGAATGGTTTCCCCCTTGAGCCTATCACCCCGACGTGTGGGCTTCGACAAGGGGACCCTTTGTCTCCTTATCTATTTGTGCTATGCATGGAGCGACTCTCCTATCACATAGATGAAGCGGTTTTGGGTAAGAAATGGACCCCACTTTCCCCTTGTCGAAACGGTCCAGCCTTCTCCCACATTTTCTTTGCAGATGATCTTATACTCATGTCAAAGGCGTCCCCTAAAAATGCTTGGACCATCGCCAAAGTTCTTGAATCATTCTGTGGAAGTTCATGTCTTAAGGTTAATTGTCGGAAATCACGAATATTCTTCTCCTCCAAGATGGATGGCCACCATAAAAGGGAAATTACAAATATTTTAAATATGGACAGCACATCAGATTTGGGGCCTCATGGACTTTTTGCTTTAACAGGATTGGTGCCTTCTACCTAATTCTTTGCATATAACTATTTTTTTGTGATGGGAGCCCTTTGTAAGAGATCTCTTAATGAATTTTCATTTGCGTTTTATATGCACACCAAAAAAAAAAAAAAAAGGAGGAAAAGAAAAGACAAGTACTCTGAGAATTTAGTTACGGCATTTCCATTCAATATGGCAAAATTTTATTTTTGGTCCTTTAAAGTGGGTGCGTTTCAAAATTCGCCCTTTACTGTGGTACCTCGACAATATATATCATTTATTGATGATTTCCGGCGATAATTAAAATTTTGCGGCAATAAGGACTGAAATTGATGGTGATGACACAGTAAAAGATGTATATTGTCAAGGTACCACAATAAAGGGTCAATTTTGAAACGCAGCCACTTTAGAGGGTCAAAAATGAAATTTTGCCCATTCACGTTATGGACGAAAAATTATTGGTTAAAAACAAACAAAACAGAAAGTTAAAAAAATATTAACATTAGACGCGCTAGAGGGAGGTCTCGAACTTCCGACCTTATGGTTAAGAGCCACACGCTCTAACCAATTGAGATATTCCAGCTGCTTGTCCATCAAGGTAAATTAACATTTATATCATTTTGTACCCGTATTTATATAAAATAACGTGGACACATGTCCTTGAAGTGGGTAATTTGTAATTTCTTCTTCTTCTTTTTTTCTTCCGTCCCGGGTGTGGGTGCTCGAGGGAGAAATTGAGCGCTTTGAAATTGAAAATTCCAAATAGGGACGTCTTTGAAGCGTCTTTAAAATAATATTATAATTAATTAAATATAATAATATTGAAATGAAAGAAGTAGTATAGAAGTGAGATTTATAAAAACAAAATATTAAAAATAATTCTATTGAAGAAAAAATAGGTAAAATTTGATTTTTTCAATTTAAAACATACATCATATATTCCTAATTACAATGTACAAGGTACATTTTTATATTCACTTTTGTATACAACTAACCTTTTTTCTTTAAATTGTGGAAAATTTAACATATATGAAAAAGTGGACCAGATCCTAACTCCTGAGAAATGCTATCCCAAGTCCTACACTCCCGAGCTTCGACGAATCCTTTAGGAACCAACTCCGGTCTGACTGAAACCGTGTCAACTAATTTTTTTTTTTTTTGAGTCGAGTGTCAACTAATTTGGTCTTTGCAGAACGACCGCTTGACCAAATTCTTTATTTTCAACCCCCAAAAGTTGAAGGGGACCCCGACTATCGAAAAGCTGAAAAATGGTTGCAAGAGATGGAAAACATTTTCTTGCTAATTAAGTGAATAGCCACTGATGAATTTGTATGCCTATCCTCTGATGATGGTGAATAATATGGGATCATTGGCCTTTTCGATCATAACGGTGTGGAGAGGACCTGGACAAATTTCATTGTTTTTACCACTTATGTTTCAAGATTATTTCAATTGAATTAGTTTTATTGTTTCAAATGGGACCGATACAATTCAATGAAGATCAATTCGGAATTAGGTCAAAGCATATATTAATTAATTCATACTACAATATAGTACTAGTACATTTTTTTCAACTTTAGAAAGATAGGTGTCCCTAGCTTATATATACTCTTAAAGATGCATCTCTAAAACCTTATTCTTTTAGTAACTCTTTAATTTACATGTGATGGTACAACTATTGATACATGTTTTGTTATATACATAACAATTTGAATTTGAATGCTTAAACAATTTTAGAATTAGTAGAATCTTCATTGTTAATGCGTTGAACTTCCATCTTCTTCGTTCTCTTTAATTGCTTCACTAAGTTGAGCCTTTCACCAGAATAGGGAGAAGGAATCTAGTCCACACTCCACAGCAAGATTAATTAACAAGAATATAGAGGAAAAAAAGAAATAGGTAACAAGTATTTTGCAATTTACCAGAAATGGCATGTATCTATTGATTGCAGCAAACATTGCTGCATGACCTACAGCAGAAACCTGGAAACAAAAAGTTTAGACTACTCAAGAAACATAACACTGGTAGTTAGCATCTCCGATGAAATGCAACATTTCAGAGGCATGTTAGTAAGGAGAAAATTAAGTGCAAAATGACTCAAAGTGTAATCTTCCCATATTTGAAGGGCTTACCGGAAGTAGCATAAGTATTGTTACTGGGATAAGCGTAGCAATGTCAGCTGCCGTTCTTTGCATCTTCCTCCTCTCCCTTTTTGTGACCTCACGGCCATATAATTTCTTCATTATTAGCCTTAAAGTGTTGGATATGTCTACAAAGAGGAGCTGAGTACCCATCCATACATCCTATAATAATAATAATAATATAATGTAATGTATACTGCAGATACAGCAAGCAGTAGTAGATCTGTAACCGAGTAACATAAAGCAAGATTGAATAAAGGACTTACGACACTTGCAGCCACAATCTTCACTGTAGATTTCCTTATAAAACTTTGTTGAATGGGCTTTGATGATTCTGCACTAGAATTTCCAAAACCAACCAACTCTTGTTGGTGTTTCTCTCTTTTTCTCATTTCTTCAGGTCTCGGCCTTGCCTCCATTATGAAAGGTGCATTCTTAATCAGAATAGAGGTGGCTGAATCAAGTCCGTTTCTTTCCCCTTTTCTCTGCAGGTCACTGCTTCAGAAAGTTAGCACCAAAGTAACTTCACTCTCAAATGTTACATGTATACGGAAAAGAGTGAAATGTATAAATACACCATATGCTTCACTCTCAAATGGTACATATCCGTATTCTTCGTAATTTTACATTTTCTAGGATTAGGGTTATTTAAGCCGCGTGAAGGGCAGTTAAGTTCACTCTTAATACAAGTTTTGCTCTGGTTTATATAAGAACATTACTTCGTAGCTTTGATGTTGGTTGGCTAACTGTACTTCTGCGTCAATTTGCATTGCACTTATTTATCTCGGTGACATCAAGAAGAGCAAACTTACCTAATTCTATCATAAGCGGGATCATAAGCAGCCCAGTAGTCCTCCAGACATGCCGATAATCGACCCTGACTAATGACAGAGAAAAACTACTTTTGAGTCCTTTGAAAACAAATGTATAATGATATAAAACTATAATGTAGTTGTGCTCACCTCTGAAGCAAGAATTCTAACAAGTCAGCATCTAAGGCTTGCTGTGTTGAACTGCTATAATGAGCATAACCCGATATTACATCATAGCACACGGTAAAAACAGCATACAGGATAATCTCCTGCTCTGCCTGAATTGGATGGTGTTTGGATCTCTTCCTATCTTGACATAACTGGCTGGAATTATATGCAGCGTAAAAGTCGAGCCATCCAATTTCATCTATAATTACTTCCATCAAAAGTTGATACTCTGATAGGGTTGAGAATTCCGGATATATGAAGAGGATACCACACTCTAAGTAACTGAGAAAATCCTTTATCTGATCATTGAGATCCTTTATATTGTGCCTTGACAAAAATAATCTCGATTCTCTTCCTAGATAAGCAAATAGTCCCAGAGTAGCTAAACTATTCTCTTGAACCTGGCCATATATAATTGTACTATGATAAAACTCTAAATATCTTAAAAAAAGAATTAATTGTGAAAAAATATGAGCACCTTGTCCGAAAAAATATGTTTGTCTTTAGTAACACTTTCTCTTTGGAATGCTAGGGAAAGTTTTCTCTGAACCAATCCAATCCAAGATTCAATATCTTCTATATTCTTACTTGGAAGAATTTTACTTCCAAAATGAGATAGAAAATCCTCTTCAAATCCAGCTTCTGTCGCTAACTGATGCAATTTGTCGATAGAAACTAATTCGTGTGCCATACTCATGAGCTCTATCAATGTATCTTCAATTGCATTTGAAAATAACGAACAAGAAATTCTCCCTGAACCCAATTTTCCAATAGCAGCACAACAAGTAATGGCCATAATTTTTCCTGCAACACCACTGAGTTATTTGTGCGTATCAGATAAGATTTTTCCAAACAAAAAATTCAGGCCAGTTTGGATCTTGAATTTCAGTGAGTAAGCTAAGTTTGTTCATTTTTATTTTCCGTATCATTTTACTCACTGTAATCCAAGAATCAAATTTACCCCGCAGGAGTACTATTATGCATTGGTAAACATTGAATGTACAAACCTTCCCGCGTAATCAATAGACCATTTCTTGAACAAAGGCATAAACAATCCAGCTATCCTTGGAAATTCCACCATTCTAAACCACTTCACCAACTGAGGGTTCTTCTTGTTTAACTGACTTTCTATATGGTCTCCAAGAAAGTTTATATTTAGAGAGAGGCTGGTGCACAAGAAAGAAGAAGAGGTCATCACCTTGCCTGAATGCAATCTTTCAAGTTTCATTTGAAATTACGAATTGGAGCTAAGGATTTCAAGTTCATAATAACTTCGTAGCCCTTGTTTTGATCATTTTGATTCTGAGTGCATTTCAAATCCTCAAGTAAAACATTTTGTACTATTCTTTTAGCAAAAATGGTGAATTTGAAATCCATTAGGTAATTAACATAGCCAAAGAAGCCAAACGAGGAAGAAATATCATTTCACTAATTCAATACAACTGGTATATAATGAATACAAGTTTTGGTGCAGACTATTTGACTTACATTTTGTGAACACGAGAAGGATTGTTGCATCGATTATGAGAAAGAAGAAGTTCCACTTCAAGTGCCGCTTTCACTAAAGCATAAACTGCAACCTGGACAAGAAAACCTTTATAGTAAGTACTCTCCGTTTCTTAATCTCATTTGCCACAAATTTCAGACACTTATAGAGGTGAAAGTCAAGTACCTGATATGCGAGATGTTTATACCAGGCATGAACATCAACTCCAGTCCATGCCATAGCAACCGGTGGCCCTGTTCTAGCCAATTCAAGAGTCTCCATTTTAAGTGAAAAGCTTCTAGCAGATTCATGCAATACCCAAACGAGACAATTCACGCGATTAAATTCCATTTCATTAGTTTGAAATTTAGTCAAAAAATACTCATCCTCTGTTGTGATTTGACCAGAATCAGAAGAGGACTCCATTGATGATAGTGCTCCAGGAGGAATCAATTTCGATGATATATGGGATGCGGATGAATACATGAGAAGAAATGGTTTTCGAGGGGTATTTTTTGCTAGGCCATGCCTTTCTGGGTCCTTCAATTTTACCTTTGCTGCACTTGGTGATTTAGTCCTATAATTTAATGTATGCTCACCTTTTCTGCAAAAGAAAACATAGGGTGTATGGATTTTCCATAATTTCAATAAAAATGAAAAAGAAAATGGAAAAAATTTCTCTATCATCTATACATTTGGTACTGGTTTTACACCCTCCTTGAAGTAGAGAAATTGAAGAACCCATTTAATTTCTGATAATTCTTAGTCAAATCTCGAGTACCATATGTACCTTAAAAGTCACCAACATATAGCATTTATCTTTTCTCAGTAAAGAATGAATCAAGAACTCTTATCAAATTCAAAAGGTAACCTTAAACCCATACAAAATCATTAAACCGTCACTGTTCAGTTTCATTTTGTCTTTTTTTTTTTTCCCTGAAAAATTAAGTCCTACAAGTACAATTTCTAATTCCTA